TTGCCATCAAAAAGTAAGTGAAGGATGCTTGCCCGGGGTAAACCAGGAAACCGGCCCGAGCTGCAGGGGGGCACTCCTCTCTTGGTGTCTCTCTTTTCCAGGACAAGGTGCTCAGCTCACGGGGTGGGTTGGGGTGTGGAGTCACGTGTGACTTTGGGTGTAGGTGAACTTGGTGGGATCTTCAGGGCATCACTGGGCAGACCGCTGCTCAAGATAGCAGCCTCACACCTGAGAGTCATCTGTTCCAGAGGTCACTGCGTCAACCTTTCAGAGATGGGCAGCTGACGTTCACCACTTCCACGTACCAGCCGTTGTGCCAGGGGCTTAACCGCACCACAGCTCATACATGTGTGCTCCATTACCCCAATCTATTACCTCATACAAGTAAAATCATATAGTACTTGACTTTTTGTGGTTGGCTTATTTCACTTAGCATAATGTCCTCAAGGTATGGCTAAAGTTTTACAAAGTGTTTTTGTCCAAAAGTCTATTATTTTGCTGCTGTGTGATTCTGTTAACACCCACCCTCTCTTTCCTGGGGGTTTTAGATACGTGGTCTTCCTGAAGCTCTTCCTGGAGACGGCCGAGAAGCACTTCATGGTGGGACACAAGGTCAACTACTATGTCTTCACTGACCAGCCGGCGGCTGTGCCCCAGATCCCCCTCCAGGAAGGGAGGCAGGTGGTGGTCCTCAAGGTCCGAAACTACAAACACTGGCAGGACATATCCATGCACCGGATGGAGATGATCAGCAACTTCTCCCAGCAGCGCTTCCTCCGCGAGGTCCATTACCTGGTGTGCTTGGACGTGGACATGAAGTTCAGTGACCACGTGGGCGTGGAGATCCTGGCACCTCTCTTCGGGACCCTCCATCCTGGTTTCTACGCAGGTGATCGCCATTCTTTCACCTATGAACACCGACCCTTGTCTCAGGCCTACATTCCGAGAGATGAGGGTGATTTTTACTATGCGGGAGGCTTTTTTGGGGGGTCGGTCCCTGAGGTTTACCGGCTCACCATGGCCTGTCATCAGGCAATGATGGCCGACCAGGCCAACGGCATCGAGGCTGTGTGGCACGATGAGAGCCACCTGAACAGGTACCTGCTGTACCACAAGCCCAGCAAGGTGCTGTCCCCCGAGTACCTGTGGGACGAGCAGATGCTGCAGAGACCGCCTTTACTCAGGAAACTTCGATACGTGGCTGTGCCCAAGAACCACGCAGAGATTCGGAACCGATGAGAACGTACTTCCCAAGAGCCCATGTTACCAGGCTGTAGCGCATGTCAGTGGTTCTGCTGTCTTGATAAGGGATTGGCCAAAGATTTGATGACGTGGATGAGGCCATCTCTTTGTTTCCTCCTCTGGAGGGTCTTCCATCACTCATCAAACAAACCCAGCTCTGGGTTTTCATTCCCTCCTAATCCTGCATTCTCTTTAAATGTGACTGATCCTTCAAGGTCTCTACAAGGTCACCTGTTAGGAAGCTGTCTTTTGTTCTCTCTTCTTCCTGTGGTTGAAGTGAATTGCTCTTCCCTCTGCATTTCCATAAAGTACTAAGTGTATTCTTTGGCTATGTCTGCCATTCTGCCTACATTACCCATCGGCCTTGCACATTACAATGTGAGCTCCTGACGGCAGAGGCCAAGTACATACCTCTGTGCCTGATGCCCAGGGACTCTCAAAACTGTTCACATTTAAATTTAAGGAACTCTTTTTTTTTTTTTAGCTGTGCAGCCCAGCTTGTGGGATCTTAGTTCCCTGACCAGGGATTGAACCTGGGTGCTCGACAGTGAAAGCGCAGAGTCCTAACCACTAGACCGCCAGGGAGTTCCCTATTTTACCATGTCGTGAGACAGCAGGAGAGGCCCGGTCTGAGAGCACTTCCTAGGTTTTCTTTGCTTGTGTTGGTAGCTTGTTGTTTCAGATTGTTTGTCTTTTTCTTATTGATTTGTGGGTGTCTGTTACATATTTTTTTTTTTTTTTTTGGACCTTTTGCGGTACGCGGGCCTCTCACTGTCGTGGCCTCTCCCGTTGCGGAGCACAGGCTCCGGATGCACAGGCTCCGGATGCGCAGGCTCAGCGGCCATGGCTCACGGGTCCAGCCGCTCCGCGGCACGTGGGATCCTCCCGGACTGGGGCACGAACCCGTGTCCCCTGCATCGGCAGGCGGACTCTCAACCACTGAGCCACCAGGGAAGCCCTGTGTGGTTTTAATGTAACTTTCCTTCCTCTGGATAACCATTATCTGAGCACCATTTATTGAAAATGTTCGAAACCTTATTGAAAAGTTCTTTCCCCTACTGATCTGCAATATCATCGGTCACGTAGTATCAAGTGTCCCTGTGTGCCTAGGTTTATTTTGGGGTTCTCTAGTCTGTGTTCCATTGGTCTGATTGTCTATCCTTATGGCAATAGCACATCATCTTAGTTACTCTAGGTTTATAAATAAATCTTCATAACTGATTGGGTATGTCCTCCCACATGGTTTCTCAAGAGTGTCTTGACTACTCTTGGCCTGTTGCATTTCCATCTAACTTTTAAGCTCTTTTGTGAAATTGCACAAAGGAACCTTCTGTTTTTTTGGTTTTTGTTTTTTTTTTAAAGTTCTCTTTATTATCAATTAGAAGGTCTTTAGGATTCCCTGGCATGTTTTTTTTTTAATTAATTAATTTTTGCTGTGTTGGGTCTTCGCTTCTGTGTGAGGGCTTTCTCTAATTGTGGCGAGCAGGGACCACTCTTCATCGCGACGCGCGGGCCTCTCACTATCGCGGTCTCTCTTGTTGCAGAGCACAGGCTCCAGACGCACAGGCTCAGTAGTTGTGGCTGATCTTGGAACCTCCCAGCCAAGTTGAGAGGAAGCCCAGGCTGTCGGGGGGGCCCGGGTAGGTGTCTCAGCCGAGGGCCAGCATCAACAGGTAGACATGCGAGGAGGCCTTGGAGGTGAGCGCGGCCCCGCCCCCATCTGCCCTCCGCCACTCGAGAGAGAGCCGAGGGAGACGTGACCCGAGGAGGAACCGGCCAGCTGTGAAGAGCAGGAAAAGAAGGGTGGTCCCGGCAGAGGGCAGAGCACAGGCCTGTGGCACGTGCAGGGCAACGCCAACCACTGGGTGAACCACAGAGGGCAGGGCACTGCGGGAGGGACCAGGCTGCAGAGGCTGGTTGGAGGGGAGCCGACCACACAGGGGCTCATGTCGGGTTCTGGAAGGATGGGCAGATCACTCTGGCTAATGCAGCAGAACGGGGTTGGGCAGAGTGGGGCACGGAGAGGAGCAGAGAGGCTGCCGGAATGATGAGGGGGCCTCACCCAGAGCAGCAGAGGGAAAGCAGAGCAGCGTGAACTGGAGAGACAGGGGTTGGGGGGACACGCAGACGCCCCTGGAGGAGGATGGTGGGAGGTCAGAGGGAGGCAAGGCTGAAGCCAGACCCTGGGAGTCAGTGCTGCCCAGGGGAGCTGGCCCAGCTGCTCTGGGCACAGGGAAGAAAGGAGGAGGCCCAGGCCGGCAATGCATCAGGAACAGTGCAGGGCAGCGCGACCCACCCTCTGTCACAACCCCTGTGCTCACACACCCACTCCCCAGCCTCAGGCGTCTCAGACTCAGGAGCCCCGCGCTGTGGGAAGAGCCAGACGCTCTTCAGGGTTCTGGAACAACCCTGCCTTTTCCTCTGCCCTGGGCCCACCTCCTGTGCTGGGGTGAGTCCCTGCTTCTCTCCTGGCCTCAGGTTCCTAATTGTCCCATAAGGGGTTGGGCAAGGATCTGCTTAACAGGCTCAGAGTGGTCACTGCACTGACTGTCCCTCCGAGGGGTGTGAGGGGATGCGCTCACAGGTGAACAGGCCTCCCCACCTCCACCGCGGGAGGGAGGCGATGCGGGCTGACTGCTGCAGGGGGCGGGCGGGGCCTCCTGCTTGCTGCGGGCCACGCACAGGGGAACGCACAGGGGAACCTGCGCAGCCCGGCAGCGCGGGAGCGTCAACCGCCTCCCAGCCTGCACGCGTGCCCAACGGCTCCTCAGCGGCCACGTGGGCAGCGTGGATGGGGGGTTATTGGCGGGGAGGAGCTTGGAAGGGTCCTGGGGGAGGGAGGCTGGGGTGGGGACAAGGGGTGTGCACGGGGGAGGGCGTCTGGACCAGACCACACAGCGCTCTGAGTGTGGGGCAAGGAGTCCGTGCTCACTGCAGGTTGAGGGGGACAAGATACAGGCTGTCTTATCAGAGCCTCAGCCTGTCAAATCCTAGATTTGGAGGGATCTTGCTGGACATGTTGGACACCCCAGGATAGCATGGATCCCAAAGAACCGACCAGGGAGGAAGAGGCAGCCTCTGTTTCCTCCCTACACAGTGGAGGCTCTGTCGTCATTTTACTCCTGTCAGGGAGGGGCCTGCTGCCTGGAGGGCCCAGAGATGGCCTCGTGTCAAAGCCACTCAGGTGATGTCTGGACCAGAGAGGTCTGAGTGAGGGGCCAAGGGGACTCAGCAGGACGCTTTTGTACTTGTTGCCGTTCTAGGTCCAGGATGACATGGATGATGTGGGGTCACTCACCTGCTGGGTGGAGAGCAGTGAGGGGCTGAGGTCGCAGACCCTGAGACACAGCCCTCATGTGCCCGAGGCTGCCAAGCGTGTGTGGAGCTGAAGGCAAGGTGCTGCTGGAGGCCGAGGTCTCTGGGGATGATGAGGACGTCAACTCCTGGAACCCAAGGAGTAGATCAGCAGAGCCCAGAGCCTGCAGGGCCCCCCAAGCCAGCATCCAACTTCAGGGGCTTCTAGGAACTGGGGCGTCTTCTCCAACCCAGCTTCGTCCCCTTTGGGTATGCATTGAGATACACTGGAACTGGGAAGGGCTGTCAGGGAGAAGGGGTGGGGCAGTCATCCTCTCCTGGCCACCAGGGGACTCGTGGAAAAGCTCAGGTTGATCCTCTCTGCCTGGGGCTGGAGTGCACACTGAGCGTGTGAACAACGTCCCAACGTCCCAACGGTTCAGTTCAGGGCATCTCCTTAGCTGATGCCAGAACCTGGAATAGGAGCTTCTGCTGGTCCTGGGCTCCATGTTGGGGGACTGGTGGCTGGATTGAAAGACCAGGTTTGCTGTTGTCAGATCTACTGGGTGATGGATGCTCTTGGGTGCCCGTGGGCATAGGTACCAGTGACCCAAACATAGGAAGGTGCGAGGGAGGTGGACAGAAGCAGTGCCTGGTGGTGGCGGATAGGGCTCTGTGCCCGTGGGCAGTGTTCCTTTGCAAAATTCAGCAAGTCCTCTTGTTCCCAGAGCACAGAGAACACCTAAGGCTGTGGTCTGTGAGAGGCCAGGTCAGCCTGTCGTTGGGCAGGCATCAAAGCATGGGGGCAGGAGAGATTCAGGGTGAAACTGTAGTCTGGGAGTGGCCTGGACTGCCAGTTGGGGTGGAGAGTGCCTGGTAGCCTGGTCCACTCCAGTCTGTAATTATCTACCCAACAATGCAGACCTGGGGAGAGGCCCTGTGACCGGCTGTTGTTTGGGGCTGGTGAGAAAACGCCTTTGATTAGCTAGGCAAAGAAGAGCCAAGTAAGCCTAAAGTTAGCAGAACAAAGGAAATAATGAAACTTAGAGCAGAGTTAAACAGAGCAGAGGAGCACTCGAGATAGTCAATGAAACCAACAGTTCTTTCTTTTAAAGATTTACAAAATTTGACACATACGGGACAATTTTATGGAAAAGTCGCTTAACCTAGATGAGACGGAAGAATTCCTAGAAACACACAAACTACCAAAACTGACTCAAGAAGAAATAGAAAACCTGAGTAGACCTATAATAAGTGAGTAGACTGAAGCAGTGTTAAGAACTTCCCAACAAAGAAAAGCCCAGAACCTGATGCCTTCATTGGTGTTTTGTCTCAAACACTTAAAGATATAACACCAATTCTTCCCAAACTCTTAAAGACAAAACAAAACAAGCAAACAAAAAAACAGGAGGAAGGAACACTTAAATTCACTGTGATGCCAGCATTAACTTGATTCCAAAGGCATCACAAGAAAAGACGTCTACAGGCCAAAATCCATTATGAATAGAGATGCAAAAATCCTCAGTAAAATACTGGCAAACAAAACCTGTCAGCATATTGAAAGGACTGTCATCACGACCAAGTATGATTTATCCCTGGAGCAAAGGGCTGTTTAACATAGCTAAATTAATCAGTGTCACACGACACATCAGAAAAAACACACGATCATTTCAACTGATGTAAAGAAAACATTCAAGCATTTGAAGGAACCCAACCCTTTTTATCATAAGTGATCTCAATAAAATGGAACTAGAAAACATTTCCTTCACATGATATAGACTGTTTAT